GCTCAGCTGCAGGCAGGAAGCATCCGTTCTTGAAACGGATGCCGTCGCTAAGCGCGCGTGCGCTGGCGATGCCATAGGCTCCTAGACGTCGCGACAGGCATCACCAGCTTTAGTTTAGGGATTTCATAAGGGCTTGTACAGTGAGCTTTGCAAACGATCTCCAGCGATGGCCATCTTTTCACGTGGCCACACGCTCTTGACTTTGCTAGTTTCTGTTCTTTGTCTGTTTGTTCCTTCGCTTGCAGGTCCTTTGAATTTGAAGCATCAATATGAGTCGTCCTTCGGGTTCGGGAGTAGCGTTGCCGCAGAAGATGCCCCCCCCCCCCCGCCGCCACACCTCGCAAGCGCTAGTAAGATGTGGCTTGATCCCTGCGGGATCAAAGAAGACAGAGTCAGAAGGAGTGTCAGATGTCCTCAAGAAGCAACAAGCCAAGAGGAAGGAACTAAGACTAAGGCGCACCTAACAACAAGAACTGAACCCTGAAACCCTTACCCTCAGCCCCCCAAAAACCCTTGGCCCTGAAACCCAAACCCTAAAATCCGCCACACACGCACACACCCAAACAAACCCTAAACCCTGAACCCTAAACCCTTGAAGCCCTAAACCCTGAACCCTAAACCTTTATCCTAAGACCAAAGCCCCTTAGGACACCCAAGCCAAGGCCATGGCTGGTCGAGGAGAAACAAAGACTCAAGGTTGAAGGGATCCTGACAGAGAGTCCATACACACAGACAGGTAGGCAGGCAGGCATGCAGACATGCGTATGTTCGCATATATATATATGTGTGTGTGTGTGTGTGTATATATGTACATACATATAAAGAGAGAGAGAGAGAGAGAGATAATTAGACCCAGGCTTATGATTTTTTGGCCACGCATTTGTTTATACTGCTGCGCATGTTTCTTAGGTGTTGCCTTTGGAATTTAAGGCGGATTTCTCAGCTTCTGGCTTCTCAGGTTCGGGGGCAGTGTTTCCACTCTCGCAACGGCAGCAGGCACGGCAGGGACTCATAAGGTCGATTAGAGTGGGGAAAAGGGCCTTAGTGTTTGGGGGCTTCGGATTGCAAGTGGGTTTGGGGCTTGTTCTGGGTTTTGTTGCCTTTAGGGTCTTGAGGGTCTCGAGTTCAAGCGCTTCGGGTACTGAGGACTGGTATTCCTCAGGGTGTCTTGATATACCGACATTCCCTTTAGGCAAGCCACCATACCCCCCAAGCATCAACGACAACCTTACACCCATGACCGCTCAACCCTTCTAAAACCCTAAACGCAATGTGTTCGGTTACTAGATTTACGTGTGGAGCTTGCGGACGAGGGTGCTTGAAGAGGGGGCTGACGATTGGATGAGCTGTTTCGCATATTAATATGGCGACGGTAAATTGTAGAATATCGTAGTACATTGTACTCTCTTATAATGCTTAGAGCTTGTAGTCATAGTGTCAGTGTGCACATGATGCCGACAGCTATAATGTCTTGGTAGCTCTCCTTACGTTGCATGCGGTTCAGAAGCTCGAAGCTACTGCCAGCTGTAGAGCCCAGATGTTGGGGTTCAGTCTCGTCCAGTCCTTCCCGTAGCACCTTTTTGCCTTTTTCTGCTGCCGAACCTGCGAGGACAGGGTCTGCAAGAGATGAACCGGGTCTAGGCCGAAATCTCTGCCGCTGATGAAGAGCGCCAGCAGCAGAGTGAACTGGACATCGCCTGAGTGATCGTTTTACAGCAGGATGCCGCGTCAGATGCCTAGCTCAGCAGACTGAAGCCGAACTGATAGAAGTCCCTATTTTTAGGTGACATAGAAGTCGCAACAATCCGTAAAAATTGTCCCTCATCGTCCCTATAATAACAAAAGTGGAATGCACACCCCAAGACCCTAATCTATTTCTTCAGGCCCCTTATGTTTCCACAAGAAGGATCCCTAAACAAGTCGAAGTTCGAGGAGCGATCGTCTCGAAGGTTCGGAGTTTAAGAACTACGTTGACTACGGTTTCTAGGTTCCCAGGTAGCCTCTTGGTGCCCTTTTCCTGACATTTGGTTGAAAGGCTCCTGTCTTTTAATAAGGAATAGAATCGGGATCCTGTGCGTCTGAACGACCGGATTCTTGCGAAGGTTAGTTGAAAGCCACGGTTAAGAGTTTAGGGCTTGGGGTTTAGGGTTTAGAGTTTCGGGTTTAGGGTTTAGGTATGGCAAGATAATGATTTGATGACTCTGCCTGGTGTGGTGGCTTTCATCAAACTCGGCAACAAAAGCACAGCAGAAGCAGCTCTTTACCCCAACTTCCAAGCGGAAATCTCTCAGGCATCCTCACAGCCGTAGGAGACCTCCACTGCAAGAAATGCACGGCCTGTCTGAGCTAAACCGGAGTAGCCTAGCCACCCGAAAACCTCTCACCCTAAGCCCAAAATCCCTGAACCCTCAAAACCCTAAACCCTAAACCCTAAAACCCTAAACCCTCAAAACCCAAGACCCGAACCTAAAGCTGCAAATCAATCAGCCCTACAATCTCAGCCCAAGGCTTCCCAGCCCCCTAAACACCGCTGGAAGACCTGAACTCTAGACTCGATCAATCATAAGCCCTAAACCCTCGTACTCCAAGACCGGGGTTTAGGGTTTTAGGGCATTGTGGTTTAGGGTTTAGGGTTTAGGGTTTTTTTGACACTCACACTCGGACAAGCCTGGTAGGGCATAGTGGCTTGGGACGCACAATTTGCGGCACAAAGCCTTGATCCGTAAACCCCCACGCCTAAGCCCTGAGCCCAAGAAACCCAAACCCTAGACCAGGAAACTCATAAAATCAAACCCAATTCGACCCCTTCTAGAACTTTGTGGAACCCATATGTCATAAACTCCTAAACCCTAAACCCTAAACTGGCCCTAAACCCTAAACCACCCTTAGATAAGCCGGTGAAAAACCCCTTAAGCTCAGAAGAAGGGACCCAGCTCGGCCACCAAGTCGGCGATGACATCCTCGGAGGAACCTCAACGACAAGAGGCACCTTCTTCAAGGCTTCGGGGTTTAGGGTTTAGGGTTTAAGGGCTTAAGGGTTTAAGGGTTTAGGGTTAGGGCTTTTACGATTTAGGGTTTAGGGCTTTGTGTTCTAGTGTAGGGAGCAGCGGCATCCGTCCTGCCAGTGGGTCTTCGAGGGGATTTCCATCCCCTACCTCTGGGTTCAGAGTTTTGGACCCTAAACCCAAACCCTTATCGAATGTTTAGAGATGGGCCCCGCCGGACTCGAAAAGTGGGATGTCGGGTGATTGCACTCCGGCAAGCGTCCAAGGCCAAATCGCGCAGGAACTGATTCGTTCGACACCACGAACCTTTTTAAACCTGGGCTGCTCATAAGCCAGGAACAGACCACCCTGAATCATAAAATCTAACCCCATGATCCATCAAAGCCCTTAATTTGCAAATGTGCCGCGTGCTCCTAGGTTGCCAGCGTGAAGTGCAGTAATCTCGGCCAGCGTCTCCGTGCACTCATCCTGGATGAACCTTTCGTCCCCAGTTATTGCTAATTACAAGCCTCATCTTTATTATTGTGACTACGTAGTACTGGTAAGTTGGCTTTATAATGAGTATAACTTATGTTCAGACCCTTTCGTGGGGTGACACAACGTGATTCAGCATCAGACTCCGTGTAGTGAAAGTCCAGGGAGTGTTGGTTGCTGGAATATTAGACCTCCTGAGACTAGTTTCCAAAGCAGATGTTCTACTTACGAGCTCCTGTCACCAGGGGTTCGTCTCGAATTGGCTTTATGAGCCTGTTTGTCCTCGGAACCACCCAGCGCTCGGTCGTGTCCCCTGGTATAGAAGCCTACACAGCCCATGAAATCGTATTCTTAATTTCTATGGAAGCCCCAGATCAGGGTGAGATCACGTATTGACTGCATTAATCACGAGAGATGCACTGGGGTGTAGAGAAGAAGGCGAGTGCTTTGATTGTTCCCAGGGTTCCCGACGAAACCGAATGTCTCGGGTTTAGGGTTTAGGGTTTAGGGTTCTGTGGCGGGCAGCTTGGAGGCACTTCAAAGAGACCTCGTTCAAAAAGGGTTTTGGGTTTAGGAACAACTATCCCGACGTGCACGTTAAACCCTAAAACCCCAAAACCCTCAAACCCTAAATCCCATCCGAGCAAGGTGAAGGACTGTTGGCCGAGAGGCTTCATGAGAGACCCAGCGTCCATGCTGGAAGTCCATGGACAGAGGGTCACGAGCTCATGCACCACCTTAGGAGTTAGGGTTTAGGGGTTCGGTTTACGGGTTTAGGGTTCAGGGTTAGGGGTTTAGGGTTCAGGGTTTAGGGTTAGGGTTAGGGGGACCCTTGGGCATATAAAACCTCTCAATAAAGTCCCTTTTAAGAGAGCCAGAAGTAGGGTTAGGAAGAGTCCTCCTGAAAAGGGGTCTCCCTCATACTACCTTGGACACCTGTCCAACAAAAAACACAAAATGCATAAAGACTACTGCACGTCAAAGAAGATCTTAGTAACATTGGAAAACTTGAGACCCCTCAGCCCATGCCCCCAGAATATACGGCAGATAATACCTGTTGTCCCCAAAATGTTCATGTAACCCCTCTCTGGAATCATCTGTGTCCTTTTGTTGCGACGATCTCGGTACCCCTGAAGTCTCTAGCAGCTCTAACACACCACAAAAATCCTCAACACTAAGCCCCTAAACCCCTAAACCCCCAAACCCTGAACCCCTAAAACCTTAAACCTTGAAAACTGTGGACCTTCTCCGAAGTTGCAACAGACGAGAGGCCCAAATCAGCGAAACGCTTCCACCAGCGGCGTCCATGGAGGAGGCGGGGACCGTCACTTCCCCAGGCTTCCTTACTATGTGGGTGGTTGTCAATATTACGGCTTAGGGTTTAGGGTTTAGGGTTTAGGGTGGTTGTCAATATTAGGGTCCCTTTTTGGGTACCCTAAACCCTAAATATTAGGTGCCGTATTTTCTTGGGGACCCAAAACGGGACGCTAATTTAGAGAACTACCCATGTGTTTCTTGCTAGTGTTCGGGCTTGTTTAGGGTTTGGGTTTTGTAGTTTTGGGGGTTGTGCTTTTGGGTTTACGGTTTGGGGTGTATGGGGCTATAAGGCATAGGCTTGGGAAATTGAGGCAGGAGCAGGGTCTGAGGGAGTCGGGTCAGTTAGGGCCTGCGGGGTTGACACTTAGGCGGCTTAGGCGTGTGGGTCGAGAGAGTTCGGGTTTGGCTCAGGACGTGAGGCTGGGGGTGTGTCACAAGCCGCAGTGGGACAGCTACACGGGCGTGTGTTCGACTGAGCATCGGAAGTTGAAACCCTCAACCCTAAAATCGTAAAGCCCTAAACCCGAAGCTCTATACCCTACAACCCTTAACCCAAACCGAGTTTGACGGAGGGGCTGTTCTCAAAAGCTCCAGCAACAAAAGCCTTCTTCCTTTGTGTAGTGTTGTCTTCACTTTCGATGCTGGCACCGCAAATCTCCAAGGACAACCTTCCTTCAGGCTCCATGTACCCTTTAGACTTTAAAGGACCCAAATGATAACCTTAAAGCCACAACTTATGCGACAAAACCCTGCGGAACCTGCCTCGATAGAATTCCCTAACGAGGGCTTGCGACGAAGTAGCATCTGCTTCTCCATGGCTTTCGCCTTGGTGCTGTCAGAATCCCAGAGCATTTCACATTCATGTCAGGCGGGTTCAACGCCATCGTCTGTGTAATCTAGGGGCTTCAACGAAGCCGTGCTGATTGTTGGGCTACGGCTTTCAGGTACACCATGCTGGAAATTGTTCAGGCTCTTAGACTCGGGTCCCTGTTATGATGACCTACTACTACAACTACTACTACTCCTATATAGCATACTAATTTTTCTTCAGCTCCAAGCCTTCTTCCAGAGCGACTGGGCCTCGCCACAGGTCTTTGCTGCAGAGCCATCGCCCCATCCCGGCATGTAGGGCGTTCCTCGGGTTTCGACTCACACACTCGCAGATGCAGGCATGGCAATTCGTGTCCTCAATAGGGTTTAGGGTTTGGGGTTTACGGTGGTTTATGCATTTTTGACTATCTACACCCGTGCGCGTGTGTACATGTACAAGTATGTATAGACATATGTATACATGTATATATATGTATATATATATATATATATGCATATGCAAGCATTCTATGCATACATACACACACATATATATATATATAAACAGATATACATATGTATATGTGTGTGTGCATGGCTGTATGTATGTGTGTGTGTGGGTGTGTCTGTACCCGCTGTATATACAAACGCATATGTATACGGTTTACGTGCACGCGGTAAGTAAAGCAACGTAGAAACAATATATGTATCTATGCATGTGGATAGAAAAATAGACCGAAAGATCCACACACTGGCTAGATCGACGGATATCTACATACATACATATATGCATATATATATATATTCAGAGAGGAGATAGATAGATAGATAGATAGATAGGTAGGTAGGTAGGTAGGTAGGTAGGTAGGTAGGTAGGTAAAGACAAAGATGTAGACAGATAGATAGATCGATAGATCGATAGGAAGATAGGAAGGTAAGTAGGTAAGTAAGTAGTTAGGTAGGTAGGTTGGTAGATAGATGGTTAGATAGGGAGGCAAAGAGAGACAGAAAGAGAGAGAGAGAGAGAGAGAGAGAGTTGGATCGAAGCGATGGACAAAGACATGGGGTGACAGTTTGAGGCTCTTGAGTCAGGGCTTTTGAGGTTTTGAACTTCGGCACTTTCTCTCGGACTTCTTGAGGCTGGAAAAGAATCCTCAACCAATCGCCCCCAAAAGTTTCCATTCCATGAACCAGCTGCTAGCTTCCCCGGCAGCTTATCAGAACCTCTCGTAGAACCCTGTAAAACTCAACTCGCATTACAACATCACTTGACAATTTGGGCAAGCTTCGTCGCCGGACCTTTTGCGCCGCCTCACAGGAATGGCGGCAAAACTACCGACATGTCTACAAACTGTAAACCTTGAACCCAAACACTAAAACGTAAACCCATACCTTAAACATATAAGAGCCCTAAATCCAACAGCAAAGGAACCCTTCAGCCCTTCCTTTCTGCTGCCCGGCCTTCAGATAAGGCGCCTCCAAGGGAAAGCCCCACTTCTCCGAAGCCGCAATGCACATCTCTGATGCATGTCGGGTCACCTTCGGGATTAGGACTTCGCGGGTAGGGCGTATGACAGCTTGAGGGTTTAGGCCAAGTTTGGGAAGGACCTAACCCTGCAAGACCAAGCCACTCGGACGACGACAAGGACTACTACTACTACTACTGCTGCTGCTACTACTAGTACTAGTACTAGTACTAGTACTACCACTACTACTACTAGTACTACTACTACTACTACTGCTGCTACTACTACTACTACTACTACTACTGCTTGTACTTGTCGTACTGCTTGTACTGGTAGTACGACTACGAGAACTACTACTAGAACTA